GTTGAAGTCCACGAGTCATAAAAGGGCCAAGGTTGCCCACCCCTGGTCTAGGCTTATGCTAATCACACAGCCCAGCTCCCTCTAGGACAGGGGTAGGCATCCTTGGCTCTTTTATGACTCGTGGACTTCAACTCCCAGAATTCCCTAGCCAGCATGGAAACCTCTCCCTTTCCCCTCAGCATGGCTGGCTCAGGAATTCTGGGAATTGAAGTCCATGAGTCATAAAAGAGCCAAGGTTGCCTACCCCTGGTCTGGGCCAAGGACGGGGGGGGGGGCTGCTTTTCTACTAGAAGCCAGGCTCCATTGAACAGATTCCTGTACAATGGTGGGCCAGTCTGGAGAGTGGGCCTTCTTTTGTCTTCCTTTTTGTTCTGTCTCATTCCTCCCACAACCTTCTTTTTCCTCATTCTTTCCTCCTTGTTTTTTCTCCACTTCAGAAGAGGCAGTCACCTTTAGCAGAGGTCTGAGCTGTTCATTTGCAAAAAAGGTGTCTCTCCTGCCTCACAGGTTGCCCCCTTTGTGTCCTTTTCAACTGCCCCCTGCTGCTTCTGCCCCTTCATGCCGGATGTGTGAATTGATCACTTGCAGAAGACTTTCTCTCCCGATTGCCTTCCCCCCCCTTTGCCCCCTCCCCAGGCTTCTTCACTGGCTGGTGCAGCCCTTCGAGAGGGGGGCTTTGAATCCCCCCACCCCACCCGCCCATGACCTGTGCTCCCCAGCCTTTCAGAGACCTCCTGTTCTTTCAAGTTCTTCTCCTTTTTTTCCTCTCCTCCTTTTTCTCTCTCTCTCGTTGTTCTTTCCAAAAAGGCTTGTCTGGGCAGGGGCCTAATGAAAAGTAGCCCTAACGAGCCAGGTTTGCAGGAAGCCTCCCTTTGAGTTCACGTTCCTGATCCTTCAGTGTGAATGCCAGAAAAGTAAGCGGCAAGGAAAACTGGAATTTGCAACATCTTCAGATAACGTAAATGTCATAAGGTTTGGTTAGGGTGCCATTCCCTGCCAAAGTATTATGGGGCAGTGAGCTGTTCCTGTAATGTTTGTAGGATGCTAGAAGAGTCCATTCCAGGTAGTTCTCGACTTACAACAGTACATTTAGTGACCAAAGTTTACAACGACCCTGGAAAAAAGTGGCTTATGACCCTTTCCCACACTTACAACCGTTGCAGCATCCCCATGATCACGCGATCAAAATTCTGATGCAGTGGTCATACCTGGGAACCAGTTGCCAGGCATCTGAATTTTGATCACCTGATTTATGACCATAAATCACATTTTTCAATGCCGTTGTAACTTCGAACAGTCACTAAATGTACTGTTGTAAGTCGAGGATTGCCTGCAGTACAATCTAAAGATAAAGCAATGTATTTTTAAAAAATTAAAAAATCCACGAAAGAAAGCTTAAACTCCCTTTCCATTGTTTGATATATATTGCTCAGCTGATTATTTTATTCATACACACACGCACACACACACACACACAAACATAAACATATATATATTTGTATTCATAATACAATTTGTATGATGAATAATTGCAGGTCAGCAATGAAAAAGAAAAATCATTTTTTGTCCCTTATATGATGAAAGAGGGCCTCCCCGCTCTTTAACACCCAACTTAAAAATCAAGCAACTACTCCCTATTGTAGATCTACTACCCTGTACCTCACGTCTTTGGCTGGACCTGGTAGTGCCCCCTTTAATAAAGAGAGTATCTCTTGTGGCCCCGCTTACTTGCATTTCTACTCTTCTCACTGTGATAGACTCACTCCAGTTCCCTGTGTCCTCCATCAATGGCTTTAATGAGGGAGTCTGGATTTTAAGTAAGAATAGTCCTCCCCCTGTATCTAAAAACTTAGAATGGAATAGAGCTGGAAGGGACCTTGGAGGTCTTCTAGTCCAGCCTCCTGCTGAAACAGGAGAACCTATACCATTTCAGACAAGTGTCTGTCTAGTCTAGTCCAGGGGTAGACAACCTTGGCTCTTTTATGACTCGTGGACTTCAACTCCCAGAATTCCTGAGCCAGCCATGCTGAGGGGAAAGGGAGAGGTTTCCAAGCTGAACCATGCTGGCTCAGGAATTCTGGGAGTTGAAGTCCATGAGTCATAAAAGAGCCAAGGTAGCCTACCCCTGGTCTAGTCTCTTCTTAGAAACCTCCAGTGATTTCTGGAGCGCCCAGGATTTCTGGAGGCAAGCTGTTCCGCTGGTTAATTGTCTTCACTGTTAGGAAGTTTCTCCTTAATTCCAGGTTTCTTTTCTCATTGTCCAGTTTCCAACCATTGTTTCTTGTCTTGCCCTCTGGTGCTTTGGAGAATAATTTGACCCCCTCTTCTTCATGGCAGCCCCTCAAATACTGGAGTATTGCTATCATGTCACCCCTATTTCTTCTTTTCTGAAGATAGGTGTGTAAGTTACCAGCTGCATAAGAACAGGTGACCAAACGATGTTTTGCCATGAATCTGGGTGAGAAGGCAATCTGAAATACAAAGCCGATTGCAGAGTCCAATCTGGATCTGTCACCGGGATCAGAGGTTTTGTGTTCTGAGCTTTTGGACTCATTCTGAAGCCCATCTTCAGGGAACTTCCCTGGTCCCGGTGACAGATCCAGATTGGACCCTGCAAGATTATCCTGGGACAGGTATATTTGCCTTTTATTCGTGATAAAGCAGATTGCCCCTATTTTAACTCAAGCATACACGCCTTCCAAGTTGGGAGAGAAAGTTGTCTGAGCCTAGGATATGATCCCCACGTTGGTGTTTTAAAAATCCAGATAATTTGGAGATGGAAATTGGTTTTATTCCAATCCAGATATTCCCTGGGACGAAAGCAGCAAGCTTTCTGTTTGTGTATTTGACAGAGAAAATGCTGATAAAGGTCAAGGATGTGTAGTGTCTGGCCTCACAAAGTGAGGAGGTGAAGATCTCACGTTGCCATCTTTGGTTGCTTTGAAGTTCTCTGAGCCCTTACGTTAATTTTCAACCTCATTTTTTAAAAGGCATAATAATTTGCAGATGCATAGTGTTATATTTGACTTTGTTTCGGGACTGTGGACACTTTGGAAGTGGTTTGAGAGAAGAAGAACTTCAGCCCTCTTCCAGCTTTCTTTAAAGCAGCCCTGACTTTTTACACTTCCATGCGGATCTAAAAGCAAAGCTGCCACTTCTTTCTGGATTGATTTATATAACTCTTAAAGCAAGCCACAATGTTCTTTCAGGATCCAGCAAGGGAGTGATCCAAGCTGAATGACAGCATTTCTCTTGCTTGCAGAACATAAGAGCTCTTGGGGGCTAACCGAGGTGATCTTGAAAATGCTACAGTTGGGAAAACCCAAAGGTGTTTTTTCAGGAGGCAACTGGACTTTCTTGTTTTTCTTTGAAGATGTTTCGCTTCTCCTCCAAGAAGCTTCTTCCGCTCTGACTAGATAAATCCTTCTGTTCCCCACCATCCAGTCAGAGCGGAAGAAGCTTCTTTGGAGGAGAAGCGAAACATCTTCAAAGAAAAACAAGAAAGTCCAGTTGCCTCGTGAAAAAGCACCTTTGGGATAACTATGACCTGGATGACTGAGAATCTCCATAGACAGTACTGGGAAAAGTTTCTATTTTAGATCTTAAAGAAAACAGGTTTTTTCTTTAGACAGAACTGAAAGTATTAGATTAAAATCAAGGTTTCTCAACCGTGGTCATGGCTGGCTAGGGAATTCTGGGAGTTGAAGTCCACTTAGTTGAAACATCAGCCAAGGTTGAGAATCACTGGATTAGATGGGCAAACAGACCAGGTTCAGACACTGAACTTCCTCTTAAGGTGGTTTTATTTGGGCTTTGGGCTGAAAGGTTTTATGGCAGTGGTTCTCAACCTTTTTAATGCCGCGACCCCCAACCGGTCGTAAGTCGAGGACTACTCAAGGTCGTAAGTCGAGGACTACTCAACTGGTGCAGCACTGTTTGCAGAATGGGACTTTTGGCAGGCTCAGCAGGGCAGAGACAGCCTGGACAATTCCTATTGGCTTTTGAAAGCCAATAAAATTAGACTCTATTCAAGAGAGTCTATTCTATTGGCTTTCAAAAGCCAATAGAATAAAAGGGAGTAGCACAGTCAAGGAAAAGGGGGGGGGGGAAATGGCGGATTGCGTTGTTTGGCGACCCGCGTGAAATGGTCGTTCGACCCACAGGTTGAGAACCACTGTTTTATGGGAAGGAAGCCCCAGCAGTTTTAGCCCATGGTTTGGGTTTTGCATACAATGGAAACTTAGAAATAAATCTGAGAGGCAGATGTACTTCCTATTGTTCAATGACTGCACTCTAAAATGTAAGCTTATTTGAAGACATATTACCTTATTAGCTTTTCCTTATTAATACAGGAACATGAGGGAGAAATAGGAGCACTTTTCGCTCCTAAATGTATACCTTATACATTGAAGATACATTGATATGGAGATCATCAATATGAGAGATTGACTGAGAGATTCTACTTTTCATTTTATGATAAAAACAGGGTCTTAGCCCTTGAGGTTATAAACGGGGTCAAATGCATGTTCATCACAAGTCTGTTGACTGGGCAGTCAAAAATCAGTTTTCTTCATGTGTTTTAAGAAGTAAAGTCATTTTTGAATTGAGTCCAACTCCTGATAATTTTGTGGCAGGAGTGTGGAAATAGCTCCTCTGAAAGGAAAGTCCCCTTGCCCCAACTGTCCAATCTGGTCTGGGACATTGGGATTCCCTACTAATTAACTTTTCAACACAAGGTATGCAAATATACCGAACTTTCCCCCAATCTGCTTTATGTTATTAAAAATTAAAACAAAACAGGCCAAAGTAACAAGCACATATAACTTGCCTAGATTAATTGCTACCTTCTTTTCTCCCTTTGCACAAACAGCATTTGAGAAAAATAAAAGGACTTGCTTTCAAGTTTCAGGAGAGTTCAGAGTGGGCTGATTTTGAAATGGTTGAAATAATGGAGAGGTCAGTACCGTAAGCAAGAATTTTTTTTTCTCCTCCCTCTACAGGTACTCCCTGTCTTACAGCTACGATTGGGACCAGACGTTCTGTCACTAAGCCGTGTGGTCATTGTGAGTTATACTCCATTTTATGACTTTTTTGCTGCGGTTATTAAGTCAGTTTGGTTTCCTCCATTGATTCCGCTTGCCGGAAGTCAACTGGGTCTTCCAATGACCCTGGGACACTGCAGCTGTCATAAATACATGCCAAATGTCAAGTGTCTGAATTTTTATCATATGTGGGACGCTGAGACGGTAGTAAAGGCGAGGACTGGATGTAAGTCAATTTTAGCCCCATCGTAACTTTGAATGATTGTTAAATGAATGATCATAAGTCAAGGACTACTCATATTGTGACATTGACTCCAAACTCTCTGAAAGGTTAGCCCAGGGGGTCTTCAAACCTGGCCCTTTTATGACTTGTGGACTTCAACTCCCAGAATTCCTCAGCCAGGCACGCGTGTCTGGGAGTTGAAGTCCACAAGTCATAAAAGGGCCAAGTTTGAAGACCCCTGGTATAGCCCATGATGCTAACATAGTGGGAATGCTTTTCCTGCAGGAACACTCAAAGTGTGGTCCTCTCTGCATGGGTACACACCTACACAAACCAGCTCATACATGAGGCTGAAGTGATGCTGGGGAAGTAACAAGTCCTTGAAAAAAATATATTAATGGTAGGCAGGAAAGCAGAAAAGGCTAGCAAAATTGTTCCCTTCATCCTGCTGCATTTGTTGCAATGTCTGAACATAATTAGATGCTTGCATCAAAGAAGAGCTAAGTGTCCTGAGGATGGACACTGTCTACCCCGGCTTAACATTAATCTGGAATTACTCTTATTATGTTACCAATGCCTGTGAGTAATACATGGGATTTTCTGCTTTTTCTCCATGACTTCATTGGCCCAGATAGGCAAAAGAGTAAGAAAAAAGGACAATTCATGAAGTTGGGTTTGTGGAACTGGTCACCATTCAAGTTAGAGTGAGATCTCCACTGGGTTCATTTACTTATTAAAAGCAGTAAAAGGAAGAATCTTTAGTAGTATCAGAATCAGACTAGAGCTGGAAGGGACCTTGGAGGTCTTCTAGTCCAGCCCCCTGATCAAGCAGGAGACCCTATACCATTTCAGACATAACTGTCCAGTCTCTTCTTAAAAATCTCCAGTGATGAAGCACCCACCATTTCTGAAGGACAGCTTTCCCACTGGTTAATTGTTTTCACGTTAGGAAATTTCTCCTTAGTTCTCCGTTGCTTCTCTCCTTGATTAGTTTCTATCCAGGAGAGAAGCAACCTGGAATTAAGGAGAAATTTACAAATGTACAAGATTATTTCTCCCCATCAGGTCACTAGATCAGTCCTTCCCTTTTGCCATCCTTAGGATGTGCCTATGTGTGAAAATTCCCATGTTATCCTGCTACACACTTCAAACAGGGAACATCTTTGCCTGTTTACACTATTCTGAAGTAGAATAACCATAGAGCAGATGGTCTGGCTCTCTAGCACTTCGCTTAATATCTGAAGTCCCGTGAAAGATGTATCTTTTGATCAGAAGTGGCTAATTTGTATGCAAAAAAAAAAACATAACAACAATCATGATGCAGGGCGTATTGTCTTAATTTTATTTTTAAGTGGTGTAGAACATAGCCGGAGTCGCTGTTTTTCCAACTGGAAATAAGAAAAGTGGATATCCCTGGGAGATCCGAGAAGCTAAGCCAGTAGCAATTGAAGTGACTGAGATACCAGTAATCCTTGACTTACGACCACAATTGAGGCCAAAATATATGTTACTAAGTGAAACATTCGTTAAGTGAGTTTTACCCCACTTTACGACTTTTCTTGCCACTGTTGTTAAGTGAACCATTGCAGTTGTTCAGTTAGTCACACGGTTGTTAAGTGAATCTGGCTTCCCCATTGATTTGGCTTGTCAGAAGGTCACAAAAAGGGATCCTGTGATTCCCCTCCCCCCCGGGACAGGGCAACCATGAATATGTATCAGTTGCCAAGCATCTGAATTTTGACCATGTGACCATGGGGATGCTGCAGTGGTTGTAAGTGTGAAAAACAGTCGTAAGTCACTTTTTCAGTGCTGTTGTAACTTTGAACAGTCACTAAATATACTGTCGTAAGTCAAGAATTACCTGTATTAGGGTCATAGTGTTTATAGAGTCACATAGGCTTGAACAGAATCAAGACAGCAACAGCACCTAGACTTATATACCGCTTCACAGTGCTTTACAGCTCTCTCTTAAGCGTCAGCCTATTTGCTCCCAACAATCTGGGTCTTCATTTGACCAACCTCGGAAGGATGGAAGGCCGACTCAACCTTGGGTCCTTCAGGATCGAACTGCTGGCAGTTTGCAGAATTAGCCTGCAATGCTGCATTCTAAGCACTGCGAAAGAAAGAGGGAGGGAGGGAAGGAGGGAGGAAAGAAAGAAGGAGGGAAGGAAGGAAGGAAGGAAGGAAGGAAGGAAGGAAGGAAGGAAGGAAGGAAGGAAGGAAGGAAGGAAGGAGAAATAGCAATAGCTCTTAGACTTATATCCCGCTTCACAGCCCTCTCTAAGCGGTTTACAGCATCAGCCTATTTGCCCCCAACAATCTGGGTCCTCATTTGATCGACCTTGGAAGGATGGAAAGCCAACTCAACCTTGGGCCAGTCAGGATCAAACTGCTGGCAGTTTGCAAAATTAGCCTGCAATGCTGCATTCTAAGCACTGAGAAAGAAAGAGGAAGAAAGGAAGGAAGGAAGGAAGGAGAGAAAGAAAGAAAGAAAAAGAAAGAAAGAAAGAAAGAAAGAAAGAAAGAAAGAAAGAAAGAAAGAAAGAAAGAAAGAGAGCAATAGCTCTTAGACTTATAGCCCACTTCACAGTGCTTCACAGCCCTCTCTAAGCGGTTTACAGAGTCAGCCTCTTGCCCCCAACAATCTGGGTCCTTATTTGACCGACCTCGGAAGGATGGAAAGCTGAATCAACCTTGAGCCGGTGAGAATCGAACTGCTGGCAGACGGCAGTCAGCAGAAGTAACCTGCAGCACTTCATTCTAACCACTGTGCCACCAGGGCTCATGATAAGATGCATAGCTGTTCTATGCTTTGACAAAATTCACCTTTTACTGCATCAGATGCTTCAAGCAAACGAGTGCCTGGTTATCTCAGTTCCTACCTGCAACTTGCCTTCTTTTCTGCAAGATTGGATCAAAAAGGACTCCATGTGTGAGAGGCATGTCACTGATGTGATTTCTAGGAGAAACTCATAGAACAGGTGTTTCTTCAAGAACTTCAAACTTCAAACTTCAAACTCTTTGAAAGTCTGGTGAAAACTACAGACCCCTTCTCAGAAAAGCATTTTTCAATGCATAATATTTTTTTTAAAAAAGAAACATAGATTATATTACAAAGGAAACCAATTATGCTCAAATACACTCATCAAAATATGAATGGATTATATGGCTATTGGGTACAAAAGAACATTTGAAGTGCAAATTGTTGACTATTAATTACACACTTTTAGCGGGAAAAGGTACTTTCTTGTAACGAAATGTGTTCTGGTTTGGGTTGTTGTTGTTTTTTTTTAAGTATAATAATTTTGGGTAGTGAGATTTATTGAAATTTACAAAGATTTTTGGCGTCTGGAGACCACAAATCACTTACTTGCTTACATGTGTTATTCAATGAAAAGCTACATTTTAGCTAGACGTAAATAAGAATAAACTTGCAATCTTTTTCTAATCCAGGTTCACAAACCTCCAGAGATCTGTTCACAGACCCGCAATAGGTTTTTGGAATCCAGACTAAGAATCCCTACTACAGATAATCCTTGATTTACGAACACAACTGAGCCCAAAATTTCTGTTGCTAAACAAGGCAGTTGTTAAATGAATTTTGCCCCATTTTACCTTTCTTGCTATAATTGTTAAGTCAGGGGCAGGCAACCTTGGCTCTTTTATGATTGGTGGACTTCAACTCCCAGAGTTCCTGAGGCAGCCGTGCTGAGGGGAAAGGGAGAGGTTTCCATGCTGAGCCATGTTGGCTCAGGAATTCTGGGAGTTGAAGTCCACGAGTCATAAAAGAGCCAAGGTTGCCTGCCCCTGTGTTAAGTGAATCACTGCACTTGGTATGTTGGTAACCTGGTTGTTAAATGAATCTGTCTTCCCCATTGACTTTGCTCGTCAGAAGGTCGCAAAAGGGGATCACGTGACCCTGGGGCACTGCAACCGTCATAAATACGTGGCAGTTGCCAAGCCCCCAACTTTTGATCACGTGATAAGCAAAATCAATGGGGAATTCATATTCACTCAACAACCATGTTACTAACTCAACAGTTGCAGTGATTTGTCTAACAACTGTGGCAGAAAAGGTCATAAAATGGGACAAAACTTAAATTTAACAACTATCTTAGCAACACAAGTGTTGGGGGTTATTTGTGGTCGTAAATCGAGGACTGGGAGGTTGGGGGAGACGTTGGTTCTAGGATGTGGATTATAAGTCCCTTTTTCAGACTCCATCATAAGTTTGAACGGTCGCTAATACTGGTCATAAGTCAAGGAGTACCTGTTTCACTTGCATCAGAGTTTTCAGAAAACAAGGCTACCTCTACAAAATTAGGCTGCCTAACAGACCATTAATTGTGTGTTTTTTTTAGTCTTCTTAAATAGAAGTGTTATCTTTGTCATTGTTGAGGCAAACTCAAGGAAACTCCACGATGCTAAGTAAATAGCTGTTATTTGCGAACAAAAGGAAGAAACGTATTATAACTGCTGGTGGAGATTAGAATCAGTGAATTTCTCCACTATACATATGTATTCTTAAAATTCATTCACAGTTTGACATTTTCCATGTTTTAGAGTAGTGTTTCTCAACCCTGATCAATCCATTAGGAATATTGTGCACATTCTGGTCTTCGATTCTAATAGGATTATCTCTTGCAGGGATATAACTTACTTAACAACTATCTTAGCAACACAAGTGTTGGGGGTCATTTGTGGTCGTAAATCGAGGACTTGAAACACCTTGAAGCGGTGTTTCTCAATTTTTAAGACTGGTGGACTTCAATTCCCAGAATTCCCTAGCTAGAATGCT